GGGGTCCTCAAACTTTTTAAACAGGGGGCCAGCTCACTGTCCCTCAGACCGTTGGGAGGGCTGGACTATAGCTTAAAAAAACCTATGAACAAAATAAGTTGAAATAAAAAAACAATACGGGGCAAAAATACTCGGCGGGCCGGATAATGGGCCCGTATAGTTTGAGGGCCCCTGCTTAAACTATTATAATTGATATAAGAGATGCTTTTGTGGGAACAGGAAAATAGAAAGCTGGTTCCATGTTAAACATATTACATGTGTTTAGAAAAGTTTTGTCTAAAGAGTAGAAAATCACAGGAATTAACGAGCATGAAGCACTCTTGCATTTCTCGGTTTACTGTCATTACACTCATAATCAAGTTGGAGCATAACAAGGAATCCCATTAAGGCCTGACAGCCATGATCAGGTCAAGGAAGTAAGCTTGACAAAGTCACAAGTCCCACAGGAGCATTACCATAGTGTTATATGCTTACCACTGGCACCAATCTGACAGGACTGAACTTCCCATCGGTAAACTGTTTACTACTATTTAACAATTTGGAACGCATTAAAGGACCAACATGATGCCTTTCAGGATCACCTGGGAGCTTCTAAAATATTCTGTTGTCTCTACTAAATAAGAATCTGTAAGGGTGGGGTGTGATTATCAATATTTTTTAGAGTTTTCAGAGTGATCCTAATGTGCAGTCAAGGTTGAAAATCCCTACAACAGAATGAACAAAAAGCAAAACACATAGGGGCTATCATCTAACAACTAAAGCCGTGACAAAACACATCTATGGTATAATTTTAAATTGAAATATACATATAAACTCGGACTAATTTCCAAGAATCTTAGATCTTTTATTGCCTACAAACAAGAGTCTTCACCAACATCAAATACAGAGATGCATGCAGTTCATATATGGTGGATTTTAAAGACATGCTTAAATAGTGAAGTGTGCCATCAGCCCTCCAAGGAGAATGCTGTTGAGCTGGAGTTCTATGCCTTGTCTGAAAGGTAATCCGTTCCTGGAACCCAAAGACACATGCTGCAGGGCAGGGACATATTCAAAAGCATTCACTATGTTTAGAAGCCCAACTTAAACATGATCATGGAAAGGTAATTTGATAAATGATCACAAATTAACTTACTACTACAACATTACAACTATTAATGAAGTAAGGTAGCCAGAAGAGCAAATAGTAATGTTGTCAGTTTGTCATCCAGTGGTGGCTTGTGATGATGAAGTAATGTCAGAATTTTAAATACCACCTTGGGTACCCATGGTGGCCAAGCTTCAATAAACTTAAGCAACTTGGGAAATGCTCACTGTTATGTCAAGAAATTTGGAAGATACCATATATACTCAAGCATAAGCCGAACCGAGTATCAGCCAAGGCACCTACATTTACCATAAAAACGGCATTAAAAATGTGCTGAAAAACTCAGCTTATACACCAGTATATATGGTATGTTACTTGGAAGAGTAATTTGTATGTGGAAGAGATCCATGTATGTGTACATTCCAAAGAAAGGTGATACAAAAGAATGTGTAATTTACCGAACATTATCAGTATTATGTGCCAGTAAAATTTTACTAACAATAATTCAAAAATAGTTGCAGTAGTACATTGACCAGAAACTGTGAGAAATTCAAGCCACATTCGGAAGATGACAAGGAATATGAGATGTCGGATGTCAAATGCATCTTCACTGAAAGCTGAGAACTCCAGAGAGATGCTTCCCCTGGGCTTTACTGACTGTGGGGAGCATATGCATGACTGTGAAGAACGGGACTCCACAATACTTCACTGTGCTCTTGGGTAAATGTTTTTTCCTCTTGTTTTTGTTCATGGGTAAATTTTATATAGGAAAAGAGGCAGTTATTGGAACAGAACTCCATGGCTTAAAATCAGGAAAAGGGTGCATCAGGGATGTAAACTTTCACTCCACTTAATTTGTATGCTGAGCAAATAAACTGAGCAAAAGGACTGTATGAAGAACACAGCATCAGAGGAAGGCTTATTAACAGTCTCTGGTATGTAAACGACTGCATCTTGTGTGCTAGAAGTCAACAGTACTTCAAGCACTTCCTGGTGAAGATCAAAGACTACAGACTTCTGTAAGGATTTTATCTCAACATAAAAAAAGCAAAAATCAAAAACAAAACAAAACAAAAAACCAAAAATCCCCACAACTGAACCAACATGCAGTATCACGATAGAGAAGATTGAAGCTGTCAAGAAATTCATTGTACTTGGATCTACAATCAATGTCCATTTCTTGGCAGAAGCCAAGAAATCAAATGGATTGCAATTGGCAAATCTTCTGCAAAAGACCTCTTTTTTTTAAATTAAATACTTTTATTGGGGGCTCTTACATCTCTTATCACAATCCATACATTCACCCAGTGTCAAGCACATTTTCACATATGCTGCCATCATCATTTTCAAAGCATTCTCTTCCTACTTGAGCCTGATATCAGCTCCCCATTTCTTCTACCTCCCTTCCCCCACCCTCATTCACAAACCCTTCCTAAGCTATAGATTATTATTTTCATTTCTTACATTATTATTTTCATATCTTACATGCAACCACGTCACTTTCAGGACTAAGATGTGTCTGAACCAAGCCATGATATTTTCAAGTGCCTCAGATCCATGTGGACACTGGACAGTGAATGAAGAAAACTGAAGGATTGATGCTTCTGATTAGAGATGGCAAAGAATATTGAAAACAATAGCACCATGTGAACAAGATAACTGGACACACTGGCGCCAATGATCAAGAGTCATGTATTAGAACATATAGAAAAAAGCCTTACCAACAGGCCTGTAACAAACAGAAAACTTCAGAAGCCAGTGAATCAGCACGTCTCATAAATATAAAATAAATATTTGGAAAGGCCAACTACTAATCCTACAGCTACTCAGAAAGAGTCATTTTCTCGGGTAGTGTTTATGGCCATAGCCATCCCAGGCTATAAGATGCATAGTCAAGTGAGAGATGAGTCGGGGTAGAGAGGGTACGCCATGTACCACTAAGTCAACAAACCCATCCTGTGGCTGCCCTGGCAACATTACTAGATCATAAGCCAAGCAAGAACTTCAAGCATGACTTAATTTGTTTCTCTCCCACCTTTTCTGATAAAAATATATGCTATATATACACTATCTTTTATAAAGTAAAAAAAAAAAAATGCAGAAAGAAAATTATCAACCATAGCTCCAATCTCGGGACTATCAGGGTCAACAGTTAAAAATGTTTCTTTAGTCCTTTTCCTGTGCACCTGCATTTTCTAAATTATTCTTATCAGCTAACTTTTAATTAACCAAAATACCATTCAGTATAACACAGTGCTATGAGTTTGCCAAACAGTGTAGCTGTTACTGAACTTTTTATTTTTAAATATATCATAATGTTACAGTAGGAAAAAATAGCTTATACTGAAAAATAAATTAATGATTTCAGTTCATTTTACTCATACTTACTATCTCTGTATTCTTAGTTTTTTACCCTAAGCAGGTTTTATTTAATAGAATTAGTAAAATGTATGAAATGTAGTCTGAAATGAAATTTCCTCTAATGAAACGGAATAGCCTTCAAAAGAAACAATTTGTATACAGTTTGGTTGGTGCTTCCAATGTGAAAATAATGCTTTCACCTGGCACTAACATACGGTTTATATGACTCAAGCACTTACTGACTGTCAGTTTACCAGGACCATTACTGTGAAGGATATGAACCAACGAAGGAAAACACATGCCCTGCCGCAGTCGATTCTGATGCCTAGTGACCCCGCCGGAGTGGAGGATACGAAGTGGATGAAAGCATGGTGTAGCAGGACAGATGCTACACCAACGGGTAATCAACGCAGACTGTGATGATCAGTGTAATAAACAGAAGTCAAGCACGTTGTAAAAAGTATTTATGCCACTGAATTTTAAACTGGCAAACATTTAAAAAATAATTCAATCTGAATAAGAAAATGAATACAACCTGAGGAGGAACAAAGGAAACTTGAAATACCTGTCAGCTGTCTGATTTTTAAAAAGTATGCTGCTTCAATAGAAGAAAATTAAATTTAGAGGGAAAAAATACACATGTGGCAGGAAATCAGGAATCACACCATGTCAAAATATTCAGTAAACGAACTTCAGGCAAGCTAAATTTTAGGTTGCTGACAGGCATTTACTTTGTAAGCATACAAAATGAGCTCATTTAGGCCGTTCATCTGATTCTACAATTCCACTCAACCTGGATTGCACTTACCTATCACAGTGCGAGCTGCCCCTGGAACTACTCTGTCCTGATTCGTGCTGTGCATCCAAAAGGATCTTCTCCATGTCTCCATTGTGGATAGAGGATGAGGACGGTACATGCTCTAGCCCCCCATTTTTCCCATTGCCATTATCATTGCCATTGCTGCTGTTCATCGGCAGCTCCACCCAGGAACCTGTTGGACAAGTCAGATAACTTAAGTTAACCACAGCAGAACTGAAACTCGTCATGTGCACACGGATGTGAACATGGTGAATTTAGATAAGAATTCTGACTCGGCTCAAACCAATGCAAAAGCATTCTGAAGAAAATAAACAAGCAGCAATAAGAGTCTAAAAATCTATACACCTCTATTCCTAAAGCACATGTACTTCGAATTCCATTTAGAATACGCTAGAACCCTTAAAATCAATCTTACAAAATAAAATGAGTCTGTCAGCCATCTGTCTCTTAGCTTACGTACAATCAAAAAGTTATTGTCAACTTGGAAGTTCAAAGCTTTTGAGGTTATTTTTCCAAAAATATAAGTAACTTTATTATAAGATAGGCTGCTTACATTTAATTTTTAGGCTACATGCATAGATATTTTTGTGTATATACAAGTATACATAAAGGCATACACATATAAGCATTATATATACTATACACACACACACACACACACACACACACACACACACACACTGCACACCCTCTCTCAATGGTCCACCTCAACATCTTAGTTGTATCGAGTCCACAAATGAAATAAGCATTTGGCTTAGAAAATTATTAAGTCATTTACATCAATCCTATCCTTATTAGTACAAACAACCAAGAAGCTCCTAGGGAGGTAACCTAAATAAAATCACAAAAATTTTAATTTGTGCACAAATCTGGAGCATAAAATAAACACAGTAGGCTTTTAACTGAGGTGATACTGCGAAAAATTCTGGGAAACACTTTTGCTCTATCCCGCAAATCAACTTCCTTTCCTTTGTACCTCGCTTTTCCTACTCTTTTCCCTCTTTCTATGCACTAAACATACCTTGAGAACTTGTCTCTCTTCTCTTCTCTCCACAGTTACTGCTTTCTAGGGTTTCATCAAGCTTCAGTGGTCTCAGGGGAGAAACAAGAATGCCGTGGTGACAGACAGACATGAACTTTTTCCTCAGGAAGATAGTCAATGGGGGTGGAGCCACAGAAAAACAGAAGTGGCATTGGTAATTTGGATAGGTCCTGAAAATATTTACTGGTCCAATGAATTTATTGGCACATTAAAATGGTTTAACTTTCAGTAAGAGTTGAGAATAGTAGCCACTAAACTATCTTCAGCAGGAAAAGTCTTTCCCTGCCCCCTAATTTTTATACCGTACAGCTCTACCCCACTGCAGTTGGTAAACTGCTGCACTAGGCCTCGTTGAAAAGCAAGGAGGTCACTTTGAAGACTAATATGCACCTGACCCACATCATGGTATTTTCTTCTTTATTTTTCAATCATTTTATTGAGAGCTCTTACAGATATTAAAGCAATGCACAATTCAGTTAGATTGCCATGGCATTTTCAAATGCTTCACATACACGTGGCAGACAAACATTAAATGGAAGGATTGATGCATTTGAATTTATGGTACTGGTGCAGAATATTGAAAGTACCGTGGACTGACAAAAGAACCAAATAATCTGTCTTGGAAAAAGTACAGCCAGAATGTTCCTTTAGAGCAGTGGTTCTCATCATTCCTAAGGCCATGACCCTTTCATACAGTTCCTCATGTTGTGGTGACCCCCAACCATAAAATTATTTTCAATGCTACTTCCTAACTGTAATTTTACTACTGTTATGAATTGGGCAACCCCTGGGAAAACGTCATTTGACTCCCAAAGGTGTCACAACCCACCGGTTGAGAACCGCTACTTTAGAGGCAAAGATGGCGAGCCTTTTTCTCACATACTTTGAACATATTGTCAGGAGAGACTAGTCCCTGGATAATCATGGTTGGTAAAGTCGATGGAAAGTGAAAAAGAGGAAGGTTCTGGACAAGGTGTACTGACACAGTGCCTGCAACAATGGGTTCAAACTAGGAACAAGTGTGAAGATGGCGCAGGACCAAGCAGTGTTGCACTCGGCAGTACATAAGGTCGCTATGAGTCAGAAACGACTTGGTAGCAGTGAAGGAGACAACAAATTTTGTTTTAAAAAATAAGTTACAATCAAGCAGATTGGTGGCCTCAATCTAAACACCCTGGAGATTGGCAGAGGGTGTTCTTTGCTGAATGATCTTCCATCAATAAATCAGAATCACCCAAACAGGCTCAAACCCTACATGTATTCTATACAAGGGATAACTATACCAAACCCAGAACTGAACTCAGTGTCATCCTTCCGTGGAAGAAAAGCTCAAAGGCAGACCTGCTTAGACATCTGACACCACCAAGATGCACAATCCTCTGAGTTTCAGGTTCCTCATTTGTGAAACACAGAGAATAACATTTATTTTAAGAAAAGTACCAAAGAAAGAAAAGTACCTACCTTATGGGGCTAATTGTACAGATTAATGTTATAACAGAGATAATGTACCTAAGTAACTAGGAGACTCTCAATTATGCATAAGCTAAGAATTTATATTTGTAATGTACTTAGTAAGTTTCTTAATAGAAATTGTTAAACTTTTGTAGTGCAGTGATTTACTTGATAGGGCTCCTCTAGCCATAGCCTTTGTAACTCTCACCAAGCAACTGGATGGGACCATGCAGACTGGGTCTATCTCCTCTACTTCTGATGGGTCAGGGTAAGAGAAGGTAGGAGAATATTGCTGATAGGGCTATAAATTCTATTTTAAGTAACTGCTAACAGGGTAAGTTGTTAAAAAAATTTGGAACCCCCATGTGGGGACTGGTCAATTTTGGCATCTTGCCAGGTATAAAATGAGCCATCTCAGAAGCAGGAAGCGAAGGTGTCACTCCCAATAATGAAGAAGAGTCAGAAGAGATGTTCGTCCTTTGGACTCTGATAAGATCCTTGCATACCGCCCCCCCCCAATCCAGGCAGAGTTGTGACACAAGAGAAGTGGTGGAACCAAGAGCAAGAGCAGTGAGCGTCCAAGCAGGTGGGGTGAAGCTGAGTGCTTTTGGAGCTGGGTGCTTTCCAGACATTGAGCTGTGGGAGCTAGGTTTGTTGACCCAAAGAACGAGCCCTGAGTTTGTTTAGGCTGAGGCTTATAACACAGTGGAGCGCCCTTTGGGTATTTAGCCGCAACATTATCCACTGCACTTAAAGAGTTCTGCAACCTTGCCTAAGCAGGGCAGATGCCAAAGAGCTGCGTGGCTGAGGGGGGCCAAGGACTAGAGAGAGGCCTGTCTATGGGCACTATCTGGGAGAAGGTTGTACTGATCAAAGAACTGTACCCTGAGCATTTCTAATCCTAGTTTATAAACTGTTAACTCCTCCATTAAACCCCATAATCAGGAGTATTGTTTGTGAGTTCTGTGTGGCCACTGCAATGAGTTATCTGAAGTAGGAAAGAAGTAGAGAATGCCTTAGGAGTAATGGTTGGTGCTAGAACTGGTTAAGAACGTTGGAGGGGAGAGGCATGTCTGACCTCAGTTTCATAGAAGTTGGCCTTGGGCTAATGATTTTGATTCTCCTTTCCCCTTGGGAAGTCACACACTACCTTCACACCATTTTTACACTTCTCATTCTCATTTGTGGCAGCCCCAGTGGTTACCCATCCCAGCTGCTGTCAAACTGTCCTGACTCATGGTGACCCCATGAGTGTTAGACTAGAACTGTATTCCATAAAGTTTTTAATGACTGACTTTTTAGAAGTAGATTGCCAGGTCTTCCTTGAGGCGCTTCTAAGTGACTTGGTACACGTCCAACCTTTTGGTTAGTAGCTGACTGTACTGACTGTGGGGGTTGTACTGCCAAACCAGTGTCCTCCGTAACTCCACAGCCTATTTCAATATACACATGAAAATGGGCACTGACTAGAGAAAAATAAAACTGGGCCAACTAATTCAACTAGCAAATCCTAGACCAGCGGTTCTCAACCTGTGGATAGCGACCCCTTTGGAGGTCAAATGACCCTTTCACAGGGGTCACCCGATTCCTAACAGTAGCAAAATGACAGTGATGAAGTAGCAATGAAAATAATTTTATGGTTGGGGTCACCACAACATGAGGAACTGTATTAAAGGGTTGCAGCATTAGGAAGGTTGCAAACCACTGTCCTAGAGCAAACAATGAAAATAAGTTATATTCAAAATGCCTCTGTATATTAAAAATATGCCAAAAGCATCTCTAAACTTAGAGGTCTGAAAATATCTTGAGGAGAGAAAGAGAATAGAAGTACAGTTAAATGATGAACAGTATCCCCCTACTCCAACTGTTTCTAAGATTTTCAAACTTTACTTTTAAACCAATGGAACCAGTTCATCTTGTTCGAAAGCCCAGTATGTAAAATAAGCAAAAAATCAAGAGTTCCTCTGTCAGAAGCAAAACTAAGGAACCAAGAGTTCCAAATGGGTCCCTGGGAAAATCATTTTTCCCCTAAAACATAATTAATGTTCACTTAAGTACTTGGTCAAAGAGAAAATGGGTTGCTGCAATGTTTAATTTTCTGAACCTTCATTTTTTGAAAATCTTCTAAACCAGTAACTGAATTGTACTTTCTGCATTAAAAATATGAAAATCACAATCTAACATGTATTTTAAGAAGCTGAGAAGACACATTTAGAAATACTTAATAAGAAATTATCTCTGGAGGGGGGAAAATGAGGAACTGATACCAAGGGCTCAAGTAGAAAGAAAATGTTTTGAGACTGATGGCAACAAATGTACAAATGTGCTGACACAATGTATGTATGTATGTATGTATGTAATGTATGAGCCCCAATAAAATGATTTAGAAATAGAAGAAATGATCTCTGTGGTTAAAACGCCTTGTAGCATAACTAAGATTTCTACATAAGGCAAACAATAGTTTGGCATCTCGGTGGTTGAGATCACAGACTGGAGCCAAACTCCCACTACCTCTTACCAGCTGTCACACCACCAAAGTTTACTTAATATCTTGATCTTGCTGCCACGTCTATACAAAGGGGGCAACAATTTCATCTACTTTATAGAGCTGCTACAAGGATGACTTGTGAATAAGGCACACAGACATTTTTAAAAGGTGCCCAATACATAGAAAGTGT